TGCTGAACCTTACTGAAAGGGTGTAGGCATAAAATAGATTGCTTTCCTGTCTAATGACTTGACTCTTCATTATAGTATACAACGTAAGTTTAAGTGAGTCAATAGCTAATCTCCTATTCATTTACTAATATATATTAACTACCAAGTATTTTCTTACCTTGAAAAACGATTGCTTTATGTCTTGTCCCAATCTCTCTGACATTTTACCCATGTTGTCTGACATTTTAGTCATTCCCTCTGCCAGGCTGTCAGGGAGAGACTTGACTGCATTTGATACATTTCTCATAGAGTTACGCAGTGGGTTTACAAATGTGTCCATCTGAAGAGGAAGATGTTTAACCAGAATTGTATAATCTATGAGGACACCAGTATATTAATACACTATGAGAAGTATCACACTGTTCCAGAGAACAATAATATAAAGAACAACTCAAATTGCTTAACTTCATTACAGAAGGCAGAATAAAGTCTTATCTTTACTTTCATTTATATTTCTCATTCCTTACAGCCATCTTTCAACAAATCTTTTTCCTGAGTCATTTCCATTTCCCCTCCCTCACTTTTCTTAGCTTGAATTTATTTTCCTTTTCTTCTCCATTCAATGCTATTTCTCCCTTCCTACTTCCAGATGTTTCACTCCTGCTTTCAACTTTCCATCTTTGAAACATGCCTCTTTTAAACAGCACTGGAATAATATGCTTTAATAACATGGCAAGTAAAATTAAAAACATAAAGTAGTTTCATATAAACTGTTACAATTTTTCTTTCAGTATATAAATTCAGTCCAAACAGAGGCACAGATACTACTGTGATGCCCTTAAAAAGTTAAGGTTATGAAGAACCTGATAAGCTGGAAATCAAATCTTACTCAGTCATTACATAAACCTTGATAAATATTTAAAGTGTTCCATCATTAAATATTTAAGGAATACAGGTAGAGCAACAACTTGAAGAGACAATACAGTTGCAGATGCTTTTTATATCAAAATCACCAAAAGTTTAGAAATAGCTGTATTTGCAAAGCAGATGCCCACACAAACTAGTCAACTGAACAAAGAATCACTTGTCTGAAGAGAGTTCTGGTGGCTTAACAAAAAGGATGTAGAGCTCAGAGCTTTGAATTTGACCAATGACTCTGAATGGTTACAACGGCTAAATACATAACAGCTGCTTTTGAAGGGAAATGCATTTCATCTTTTGGGTTGAAGAGTGGAGAGCATGGTAAGAGCAGCAAATACAGAGTAAAGAACTGAAAAAAGAAATTAGAAGGAATGAGACTACGAAAAAAAATAAATCACAGATGTCTGACAGAAAGTAACTTGCAACAAACACACTTTTAAAGTAGTCTTGGTGCACTTGGTACACTGTGTCTGATTTGAAAACTTTATTTTCTTGTCATACAAATAAATTGTTACAAAAATTTTTGGTCCCCTATGTCCTCAGATACTTTGTTGCTCGCAAAGCATTAATGCAACTTGTAAGTTGTTGTCAAAGTACTATATAACTGTTTAATATCAGTTCAACATTGCTGTTTAATGCAATCATCATACTAATGAATGCTCTAAAGTTCCTCTGACAGTACAAAATACTCTTACCTTCCGTGCAAAATCCCCCTTCCCTTTGCTGTAGGCTTTATTCTCCAGGAAGTCATACACATAATGGGCTAAAGCTGGAGAAGCTTTCATCATTTCAGGATTTAACAAGAGCTGAAGAAAATAATTTTTAAAAGGTGCTTTTTAATAAGTAATGGAAAAAGGTCATACCATTCAGTTTAGTAGAAGTTTACCGTGCACAAAGACACTACATCTTGCAATTTACTTCCTCATTCATTCTCTAAATTTTATTCCAATGTTACACTATTCTCAAGATGGAAATAACATGCTTCTTGGTAATTCCCACCATTTTAAGTAGTAAATTCATTACTGCATCTCACAGAAAATACACACCTTCATGACCACTCAAATTGCTTCTAAAACTCCAGGAAAAAAAAAATAAATAGCTGTGACTGAAAAAAATATTGCTATTAAAAATGGGGCACATATCTCACTCAAAGGAAACAATATTACCACTCTAAACAGAACAATCAGATTTCACAATGTTTTATTTATCTTCATTATTTACTGTTAACAAGTCCATTGAGTTGGTCAACATATTTTAGTGCTAAATGACCAGAAAGTCCCTATGAAGACAGACAACTGAATTCCTTTAGTTGGGCTGATAGAGGCCCTATCTGAAAGGAGAAGCTGTGTGGTTTGCTACACCATTGGAGTGTGCAACAGCACAAGAGAAAGTAACCACAAACATAAGTTTAATGGAACAAAGTTAATAGTGTAGAGCTCAAAACCAACATAGCTGGAACCTCACCAGCTCAGAGCAGTTGTGACAGAACTGGCTGAGAATAAACCAAAACAGCAAAGAAAAGGCAAACTTACTAGATAATAAGAAGTTCTTATTAGAACTGCATACCACCTGCAATACAGTTTTGGTTTGTTTTTTTTTTAAAAGCATGCTACCAAATTTTCTACCTCAAAAAAAGAATTCCAACCAAGAACACAACCAAGAAACATAACAGCTTACCTGCAAATATGCATTTAAATCTTTTTTCCTCTTTTCCAAAAATTCTCTGTCCATATTGTTAAATGTTTTTTTGCCAGGAAGTTTCAGTATATTTGCAAGGTTTTCAAACTAGAAAAAGAGAGAAGATTTTTTTGTTCTGTTTTCAAGAGAGTTTCAAATCAACCATATAAGCTCAGAAATTATAGGGGTCATTATATTTGCCTATTCTTATCTACCATATAACATTTCTGCATCAAGCACAGAACTCAGATTCCATGAAGAAGCCAAATGAAAGTTAGGCCGTCAAGAACAAATGCATGAAAAGTCTCAGGAGACTGTCAAGCGCAATATTTAATTTCTGAACATACACACGATAGTCACTTTTGAAATGAAGACTAGGATAGTGTGCAAAAGGTTTAGGCTCAAGATATATGATTATTATTTGAGCAGAAGTTAGTAGGGTTATGACACTACATCAAAAGAACTTGCAAGTCCTTCTAAAACATCCTCCCTTTCCTCTTCCAATCAAACCTACTAAGGAAATGATTAAGCTTTTATCCCTGGAGTGGATGGCAGCACCCAGTTTACACACAGGTTATCATACCATGCTTGATATGCCATCACCTATGCCTTTTCTCCAGGTATGACAGTGATTAGTGCTGGTTGACATGCCTGCCAACATTCCCATTTTACAGAAAGCACAGGTGTTCCCAGGGAAGTAGCAGGGAAAGAAGAGGCCCTAATACTTAAGAAGGTTGAACATATTTGCTACAATGCACAAAAATAAAAAAGTGACAAGAATAAAACTCAGTCAGGATTATCCATATATAGAATCTAGACTTCCTGTAAATAATAGATAATATTCTTAAGGCAGCCTATATCTAGGCTTTAAGAAACAACCCAGAAAAAGGTTGTATCCTTTTCTCTCTAGAGAAGATCACAAAATTACCGATTTCATGACAGATTGATTCCATTCAGTTCCTGCAAGGTGTCTTTTTGGAAAGACATCATTAAACTTTGGAAGGTTACAAAGTTCATATAATGTTTATGGCCTGTAGGAAGCACCAAAGAATAACTCTTTCCAACTTTACAAATCCCATTCCCTTGCAAATAGGTCATGTGGGAAAATAACTGAACAGAAGATGGTCTAGTCTTTATTTGGATACTTGTACCTAAACAGAAGCAATGTAAGCAAAGAACAGCCTCCATTTTAAATATAGATATCTACTTCAAATAATATTTATTATGTTATTGACTAAGGAAATTGGTGTGAATCTATTCAGTACTTTAAGGAAAAAAGCTCACAGAGGTACTATACACCGCTAACTTCAATTCCATTTTGGATCAAGTACTATTGTCTCAAAAACAAAAACAATAATATGTGCCCTTCCTATTAATTTTAAATAAAAGATTCTAACCTTTACCCTTAACATGTCAATAAAAATGTTTTAGACAAGCACACAAGCAGGGTGTTCAGTGTATTAGTGACATTCTTATGCCCATAAACTCAGTAGGAATGTCTATTGTCAAAACAAAGCAAAATTGCTGGGAGTTTCTGAGATGCTATGATGACGCACCAGAATTTCTTTACTTTTTGCAATCTTAGTGTTCTAGGATAACATTTCTATTATCTGTAAATTCAAAGAAATCAGATCTAGCAACAAGAAATTTCTGAGCTTTCATATTTTGAGAGTTTTTGCTTCTGCCATTTTTTTATAGTCATTTACTGGTAGATCAATTTTAAATGACTGCCCCATATCAGCAGAACATTATCTCACTGTAAGATCTGGGAACCAATAGCTGTTTCAACAGGTCAGGGATTCTTCAAACAGTGAATTAATTAAAAAAAAAAAAAAACAAAACAAAAAAGCCACACACAATTTGAAGGAGTACAAAAATTGATATCTCAAATTTAGTGGTGGCACACTAAGATAATCAGAAATTCAAAGAATGTCAGACTTTGTTTACAATTAATACAAATGTTCAATGTTTGCTTTCTTAATAAAGGCTTTTCCATTTTTACTACTGTTGTGACTTTACAATGCTAACCTACCTGCACAGAATTTGTTCTCTATGCCTCTCTATTAATAACAGAGTAAAGGGATGTAATCCAACACTTCTGACTAGTTCAAAGGTTATGCAGTCAAACCTGACTTCTCCAAAGGCTTGGTTTAAAAGCACTTCACCCTCCTCTTTTAAAAGCACTGTATTTTCAACACACTTTCATGTCAGTAGGTTCTACTTTGTACCAGCTGGTGAATTACAAGTATCATTTTTTTTTTCTTTCATTTTAGGAGGGTTAAGAGTCTGAGAATACAAATACAGCAATAAAAGGCAGATTGTCTAGCAGTACACTGAACTGCCAACAGCTGCTGCTCCTTTTGAGACCCCACCGATCCTTACCATTTCACTTAAAACCCAAATGCCTATTTCCCAAGCTCAGTTTTTATTGCTTAATCTCTCTGAAAAATATAACAACTCAAATACATCACTGTTCAAAACCAATAGCACTTTCATACAAACATTTGAAAGTAAAATTAAGCAAAGGGAGGGTGGGGGGAAAAGCTTTCTAAGTTCTGTTTCCTTTTGTTAGAGCAATTATATAGCCATCAGCTACTAAACTATATAAATCTGCACACGTAAACTGCTTAGTACAAATAACGTATATAATATAAATGGTAAAAAAAGTACACTTTAATGGAAAATAACATAGTTCTGTAACTCCACATCTTAAGTCACTCTGAGAAAGCCAATACTCATCATGCCATACCATCACACAGAAAAAGCAACTGTCAAAGAAACCTTAAAAGTTTTTTATGAGATTAATTACCTGCTCAGTGATCCTCATATGAAAGTCATGGAAGTCACTGTAGCGTCGATACGTCTTCCACGTCTCTTCACTGTTTGGATTTCGCCGATGGACTGTGATAGCATACAGCGCATATGTCTTGCCGTGGTCATTACACACTCCTGCCACAGCATATGGGTCATAGTCAGCATAGACTAGTAGTTTAAAAACAAAATAAAGAAAGGAACAAACAGAAAGAAGGAAGACGAAAGGACACAAACGTGAAGTGAAGAAATGTCTGGAATGACAGACTTGACACAAAAATGGACATGCAAGCAGAAGAGTAAGCCATCCCTTTATCCAAAACACTGTATAAGTGATAACCTCTAGAAAATTATTATAGAAACTTAAATAGAAAGATTAAGCAACCTTAAAGTTAGGCAAGTTTCACTGTCATGCAAAACACAAAGAATAGCAAAGGTTTCAACTTTCAAGAATAGTGAATAGATGTTTTAAAAAATAATTTATCCTTAAGAACTGAAGACAAGGGTGAAAGACAACTGTGAAACCAGAAGAAATTCCAGTCTGCAACATACTCTAGTCACATTGCAAAAGTCTGTCCATCAAAGAGTCTGTAAAGATAAGACAGTGCTAGCAAGCTGTGAGCACTCAGCTTTGTTATTAACATCAGCAGTTTGTTATTGACAGTAAGATAAAAAAATAGCTCCCCAGAAGTCAACAGAAACTATATACTCACATATGTATTTATTCTGTATGTGTACATATATATAGTGTATTCTGTGTGTGTGTACACACACACGCATGCGCACACATTTTATGGATAAGTCAATTTATAAATGGAAAGAACACAGATAGCTATCTTAAATAGAAGCAAACATCTTCTTGCTCTCCATTGAATATTTAAGTTCTCTGGGACATTACTCCATCACAGAGTTCTCCCAGTATAGTTTGTTTCAAAAATTTTCATTTAATCTACAGAATAACCTAGAACCAATATTGCTTACACTGCATACTGGTTAAATTTGTAATATGTTGTATCTCTAAGTATCGAGCCAATACCCAGTAACCACAATTTTCCCGTGGCTAGATGAAAATACTTTTTAATCAAGTTCTGTGAATTTTTCAATGCACCCACGCTCCATAAATTATGCTTTCATTGACAAATCATCAGCTCCAACCTCTGTTGTGCTTCCAGCCTTGACTTCTCTCAAGTATAACGCTGAGGTCTAGGCACCTAGGGAGCACCTCTAGGATAGGGGCAGCTGCTGACAATGTAAGAATTACTCACTAGCAAGGTGCACAGTGGGCACTGAGCATCTTTTCTTTGCCATCTACCCTCTAGAAGAAGAATGTTGAGTGCTGAACCCCAAGAGAAAAGAGCAGGCAGTTAGGATGCTGCCAGAAGACTGTCCAGAGAATGGAGCCAGGAAACCCCAGCCCCATGGATGCTGAGCAAGCCCTATTCCCTATACTCATGTTGATCACCCTGCTGTGCAGCCACTAGACCACATCTCAGGGGCACTGCTAAGCTGCACCATTAGGAGTAGCACTTCAGGAAAGGAGTGGCAGAAAAAGAAGGAAGTTGTCCCTGCCACTCCTTATGTCATAGCCTCTTAATCAGCATTTATTTCGCAACACAAGACAAGGTGAGTCCTCAAAAGTTATGAAGATCTTGTATATGCATCCATGAACACAGTAAAGGGTAGTAATGAGCACAGGAAAGGAGCCTGCACACAGATGCAAGATGCACCTACTGCCTGTACCATCTAAAAATCAGGGACTTGTATTTCTTGTTCAAACATGAGGTGAAGAGGAAGAAAACGTCCAGTTTAATCTGATCTTATAATATGAACCTGTACATATCCCCTGGTTCAACTGGAGTATTACGGATTCACAAAGTCAAGCTGATAGTTATCAATACCCACTGCCACCAAGATTATAAATTTAACATAATTTGCGTGGTTCTAAGTTTACCTTTCTTCTTCAATCGAAACAATGAAACTTCTAAGTTTAATTCAGAAAAAAGTATCACATGTCATTTCAATAAAAAAGCAAAATTGTGATTCTTAACTTTCAAATTATTTTTCCCCTTCTCTGAGGACTGATTACATGAGACTTGGATTATACCATGTTCTCACACTGGGTTGGAGTAACAGAGCTTAATTAAAATTTCAAGTAGTTGAATTCTTGCTCACAGCTCATGTGTCTGCTATATAAATGCATAGATTTAAAAGTCTATTGCATAGTAAAATCTACCAAAAAAAAGTATCTGAAGATCAATTCACAATTTAATTACCCAGTGCAATCTCATCTAACTAGAATATTTGCAATTAATATCTGAGAAGCTTTTGTTATTTACTCACACAATAAAAAAATTTACTTACTAGGCAATTTTTTTCAAAAGATAACCAAAAATGCCACCACTGTAGAGACTGAAGTCATTACATTAAAGTCAGTAAAGAAGCACAAAAAATAGGGGACAGTATTACAGTAAGAGAAGTAAACAGTTAAGAATTAAGACTTGTGTTACTAGAAAAAAAAAAAAAAAGAGATGGGTTTCAGAATTTGTTCTTTAAATAATTGTTAAAATAAATGCTACTCAATATTAAGTTTAATGAATGATTCTCCAGAGATGGGAAAAATAATAATACCATAAACAACAAAAATTAAATCACATTTTAAGTATAGCTATATAGTCTACAACCTACAGCACCAATTCTGTAAGGACTTCCATTACAAGGACTTCACGGGAAATATGAATTCAGATGTTTTATGAGGTTAAAAAAAAAAGAAAAGATTAGGATTTCAAGGGCCTGTAATATTAAAAAACTCAAAATAAATGGTGGAAAACAAGTAAAGCAGCCATCATAACATATTCACTTACCAGTATCTGAGATGTATGCATGGAGTTGAACTGTGTCATCAGAAGGGACATTTGGAAGGTCATCTAAGGACTGCAGGGTGGGGGAGAGAGGGGAAAAGAAAGAAACAGGCAAGAGAGTAAGATCACAGATACATCTAATTTGAAAGACGCTTTTTGATTCACCTATTTCATTCTCAAATTTTCAGTTCATTACACTAATAGAATAGCTTAATGCACTGTAACAATACAATTTTTTGTATTACCTGGTTACTAAAGCCTTTCTTTTACACAGAGTGTACGGCCCTTCATTTCCCCTACTAGTTTCACATAGTTTCGTGATCACTCTAGCATATTTGCCACTTTCAGTTGATACCTCGACTGCAACAGAAGTACAGCTAGAAACAGCTTTTATTGAGCATTAAAATAACCAAAATCGAACAACTGTGGAGATACAGATGTTGTATAACAGATCTTTTATCTTTATACCATTCTGTTTTCTTTCAACTGAAAGCACTAGTCAAAAATTACAGTGCAGTAAAACTTGAATAATTTCTCTGCTGTATGTAACAAACACTTCTCAGAAATGTTTTCTCTTGTAAAAAATGAATAGGTATACATCCTCAGCTGGATAATGCCCTGTCTCCCTATTCAGTAATTATTGGGATCAAAGGAAGCCTAATGGGTCTTTTAGAGAAGTTTTGCTATTATTAAAAATAAACACATCTGACTACTAAGATTTAACATAATAAAGCTCCGCAAGATTGTTGGGTGAGAAACTTGGATACATAACTGAAAGAAATAGAGGGTGGGCCACCACATGTGTGATTCTAATCTGAAATTACCAGGTTAAAAAAAAAAAAAAAAAAATTGAGCTTCTTAAGTAGAATTCATAGGCAGTGGGATCCCAGCTGTTTTCTACATTTTACCCCAAAATTCTAAAATTCTTCAGAGATAGCTGCATATTAATTCTGAATGTGTAGCTATCTTTTATTATTTAACGAAGCCAGTTTAATAGTGAGTTGCCACAAAAGGTTACCTAGAATGGGACCTACTGGATAGCAGTGCCATACCTATACCAAATAATACACATCAATCAAGTTTCTAACCTTGTCTGTTTCCTTAAACATCAACCAATCTTATATGTGATTACAATCAAAGACAGGTTGGACTTGAAAATGTAAATTATTTATTAAGACTCTACTCTTGCCCTTTCTTCATCTGAATCTTTACCATCTCCACGATATCCCAAGATAATACTCCACTCCTTCCTTCTCAAGCTCTCTAGAGGGAATGACTGTTCTCCACCTCAACCACCTCAGTCAGTCCCTGCCTAAATATCCACTATGGAAGGTGAGGGAAATAACATTTCTGTTATAAAGTCTAGATACTTAATAAATGGCATCATTGAAAAGGTCGCAACACACTAACTATGCTGTTATTCCCAAATCTGTAAGTTACTCCGTGCTGGAGGGTATTGTGGTAAAAGTATCACCGTAAGTGGACTCTTCCTATAGTTTTCCTTAGACACTTGCTTTTGGTCATTGTTAGATATAGAGTTAGACTTTCTCTGACCTAGTCCATTATTAAGCAAGCCACCCTCGGACAGCAATTACCCTGTAAGGTGTGCTCTATACTGCAGTGTCCAAATTTAAGAGGAGAGTATCACATGAGATTGCTGAAGGGCAGGAATTTGTGGAAGCTGGGATAAATGCTTGATATTCTGAGACCTCTGGGATTTGATTATCAGTAAGATGGAAGGGATGTTGTTAAAGATGACAATTGACAGTCAACTGCTCTAATATTTTGTTTGCTATGAAATACTGACATTAAGGTACCGTGATATTTTTAAAAGGCATCCTTATTTCTTGTTTTCCTGCCTCCCTCCATTGCCACTCTAACAGTTCAATATTCTTCTTAATAACTGAATGGGGTTCAAGTTGACATATACTAATGACTGCCAGAAGTTCAACCCAGCCATTTCTGCTGCCATTCAAGGTCTTGGACATATAACACCTGTGTACCTCCTTTCATGTACTCAATGCAAAAGCATTATGTAAAGCTCACATTATAGACCATTTAGATGAAATCCGCAAGAGTCTATCAATTTTCTACAATGGTTTTATACCCCTAAAATATGCCCCACTGGTTTAATATAGTAGATTAATGTGTCAAATTAAAAGGTAGAAATTAAGAAGATATTTTTGTAAAATAACTTCTCCTCAAAATAGTTTTGAGCCTCTCTTCCAAATAATCTTAAAATTCTTACAGTGGAAGTATAAACTGCAGGAATGGAAATAATAGAAACTTTAGGAAATACTCAACGGCTGTGGCAATGCACTATACAGCAACAATTAATACAATTAAATGGTTGAAACTTGAACAGCTAACACAACACATAATTTGTATTTAATACGACCTAATATCTTTGACATTAGGTATATCCACAAGAACACTAGTTAATTAAAAAGCAACAATATCACACCACAACCCAATCTTATGTAATGCATTGTCATTAGCTAACAGCACAGAAATTCCCTGACCTTTGAGGTAACCTTTCCAAGGTCTATTTTTCTTCATGTAACTGACTAACACAAGGGAGCTAAACTATGTGTACAGAAATTTACTCTCGACATGGAATTCAGCCAGGAAAAACTAATCTACCAGTATTTAAACACCTGTAAAAGCAGTGAAAACCCTAACAGCTCTGAACAATATGGACTGCAGAAAGCAAAAGTTCTTCTGCATAAACAGACCTTAATTATGTGTTTCTGCTAGAACATTCTTCACTCTTTGGGAAATAATAAATGTCATATTCTGCAAATATACTTTTCAAAACAACAAAAATCAAGGCTTGGAAGCTTCCATGCAAATATCTATTTGTATTGCAACAGCACTTGATAAAAGCCTTAAGACTTTCTAGCTTAGATTGGAAAGGCCACAGGAAACTAAGCAGCAGATAAACAGTAGCCAGAAGAGCCACTGAAGTGACAAGTCCCTGTCTGTAAAACATGACTTTGATATGACACTTTGATATGGCTAAATGAAGTTTTCCTTCTGCATCTAACAGGAGTTCGTGTAAATTGTATCAGCTGACTACTTCCCCTTTTTTGTATTTCAAAATGTAAACCAGAGGAAAACAACAGGGCGAAAAAATGCCAGCTTAAAAAAAAAAAAAACCAAACACAAAAAACCCCAATCAAAGCCAAAACAAACCCCACAAACAAACAACTCCCACATGGAAACACATTTACTTTTATGTTAAATGTATTCCTTTACAAAATAAACTCTATTCCTCTGTGCACAAGCACGATCTAACCAATGCACCGGAACTCCTAAGGAGCTACAGCATCTTCTGAGAATGAATGAGAAGGCCCTATGAATCACATAAGCCAGGAAATTGCATGCAGATTGTAAACCTTTCTAAAACTAAAAGATTTGGAAAAACACTCTCATATGCACAATTCAACCTTGTGTATCTTGTGGCTCAGCTACATATAGTCTGAAGAAACAAGTAAGAGGGAAGGGGGGAAATACATCAAAATGTTTATGATTTTTCCCTTTTAAATAACTGATTCGATTTTCAGCTTAAAATATTTTAAACCTAGTAAGATCTATGTGGGACGGATTGTTGGGAAAAAGTCTGGTGGAAGTATACAGTTCTCTTCATACGTATGCAACCACTCATACATGCAGAAGCATATTTGAAATATTAAGGTACATTCATGTAAAAGAAAAGATTCTGACAAACTGACCCAGTTAAGAATTGCTTAAAAAAAAGACCCAAACACACCCCCCCCTTTTTTTTAAAAAAAACAACAACAACAACAACCACCACCAAACAACAAACCAGCCTAAAAACTGAACTTGGTCAGATTAGAAACATAAAAAGCATCTGGAGTTTATCTATTCAAAATATGAATCTTTGTTTTCTAAAGTCCTAACTCAAAAAAATAAAACAATCAACCTATAAAAATCTAATCAACCGCCTCATTTTACAGTTTATTTGAATTTAATCCTTCAAGATTTCAGTTTCAAAGGATTTGTTTTCACCTATTATTACCTAACTCCAAATTTATGTCTATTTAAAAAAACAAATACAGATAAGAAACTATGCTTTGCATAAATTAATTATAGATTATTACTGTTTCTGTGAGATACAATGCAAAATTTCATTAAACACAGGGGAAAGTACACAAGGGACAGTTATCTTACAGATTGATACCTTAGGTGTTTCAATTTGATTCAAGAACTTTTTAAGAAATTAAACTGAAATGAAGTAAAACCTCTAACATACATAATTAAACTATTTTATAACACTTCCCCTACTGTTGGGGGGTGGTGGTGTCGGAGAACAATAATAATTTAAAAAAAAAAAATAATCCAAGCACTTACCAGATTTATGCTGCCAGTAGGGGACCCATTAAAAGATTCTGGGAGCAGTGAGGAAGGGGAAAGGAAAAAACAGGTTAGAGTATTTTCTCCAATGTAGGGCCACACACAAGAAATAAAAACGCAAAGACAAAACATTACAGAAAATAATGGAAAACTGTCGTATTGGACAAAACATTACACCCAACATGTAAGTATCAAGTTTCCAATAAAGACACCTAAAGGAAAACGTAGGTAAGTTTGTACAGCCATAGATATAAAATAAATACTCCAAAGTACATTCCTTTTTAAGCTTATATCACCACATGAAATTGCTTCATTAAGGAGTCAGCTCAATAGTTAAACAATTCCCATTAGACTTGTACAAGAAAAATTATTTTAATTGCTCTAAAAAGCTGTATCTCCTATGTACTTTCAAATTTTACTTCTAGATGAAGAATATAGCTAGGTATTAAAACAATCCAACATACTGAAGAACCTCAAATATTTTTGAATAAAAATGAAAATGAAATAGTTGCATACTTATTTTAGCGACACACTTGTTACCAAGACTTGACAAAAAATTTACAGGAGATTAATAAAGGTACTACAGAAAAAAAAGAGAGACACAATACTATTTGACTCCCAAAACAAGTTACAAAAAAAGCTCAAGGAGGAAACTATTAATATAAAAATAAAAGATACTACAGGAACTTTTTTATTTCTCAAAAACTGTGTGGATAATTTTCTTATTTTCATTTTAAAGCAGAAAAGAATAGTCCCAGAAAATCTCCCTTACAGATATAGAGCTCACCTCCTTCACCATCATCTGATCCTCTGAAACTAGGATCCTTCAACATATCCAGCTCAGCTAACATACGCACATACAACACGTTCTGTTTGAACGAAGGGTAGAATCTTTCATCTCGCAGCATCAATTCATACACCTTAATTGAAATAAAAACACCAACCTTACAAATACTTAACCAGACACGCTTTCATAAATTCTACTTGACCAGCACATAACTGTGCATTCTAATCCGTGTCTCTGGGTTTCCTTTAAAACCCTAATGCGAGTTTGTGAAGTTTCAATTTGGGATTACTCTTAACTGAAAGGTAATGAAAACTAATTGTAGTAGACACAAGTATAATACAGTCTCAGAAAGTACCTTTCTAACTAGTGAGACATACACGTATAGGAAAGTAGCACGTTAACTGTAAATGTTTCCTTCCTCTCTTCTTAACCCTTCCAATTGCACTATTAACATATTTGGTCTTTACCCATTTCCAAGAGGTTATCTCTCAGAGTTGTCCTTTGTTGATACACTATAAATGCAGATCTGCAAACACTTAGGTGGAGGGGTGAAGAGAGGGAAAGGAAGGGAGGGAAGACACCACATACTACTTTCCTGAAAATTTCCAGTTCAGCCAATACAGTATAATCCTATTTAATCACAACACCTCAAAAAGTTATCTGTATAGCCTATACAGGGACAGTATATATACACACATGTATCTATATATATTGGGAATTAATTCATAATGTTTGGATATTCATGTCCAACTCTAAAATATTTTAATATTTTTTTTTTCTCCACAGAATATATTGTACAAGTGCTATCACCTGGTAAGAATGGAAAAAAAAATCATGCAGGTCTGAGGAAATCTATTTCTTCTGTAATACATGAGAAATTTGTGCTTTTCAGCAGAAATCACACGCAAGGCCCTTTTAACCTACTTTTAGCAATACAGAGTTCACAAGGTGTCTTCATTAGTCTTAAATGTGGCCTCAATAGAATAGAGTGATTCTAAGTTCTACAGCTCATATCACTAATTTTTAGCATGAATGAGAACATTAAGTTAATGACCTAAAATAAAAACCTCTCAGACTGGGTGTATAATTTACTGGCAGAATATTAATCATTCACTATATATATTTTTTTA